TGTGCAGTTCTGATAGGAGGGTGTCTACGACCCCCTGTATATGAAACCACTAAGGGTTTATTTGCTGGACTTTGGTTTTCTTTAAATAGGGCTTTGCCTCGATCGTTCACCGAAGGACAGAGGCGATCCGCCATCGTGATCTTGAATTTTGATAAATCTGGACTAACCCATGGTTTCACTGGTGATACATTAGACGAGCCCGGAACGGATGTTTGCGGCGCTTTCGGAACCCAAACTTTACGGTTATTTGGTGGCTTTTCAGACACCAACTCCTTTTTGATTCCTTGTTTTTGTTGACGAAGAGCGCGGGCACGGGCGGCCTTCACCTGACGCCTTTGTATTCGTTCCTTAAGGGTTGAGCGAGCCCTTTTGACGAGGGTCCACTCCTCCGTCGTAAGTTGTGCAGAAATGTGATTATTTTGCCGTTGAGGCAACTGAGTCATTTTCTGTTTCCTCGACTCTAGGTCCGCATAGTAATGGACCCCGTCGGTTTGTTGCATGGCCTTAGCCAATTGACGAGCACGGCGCTGGCGCTGTCTCTGACGAGCCCTCTTCGTCAGCACCGGCGAGCTATGATTCAATGACTCCTTAATTGGTACAGAGTCACTTGGAGCAGAAACGTTGCAGACAGATTCCTTAGCAACGATCGGGCAAGAATCTTCGCCTGCGGCCTTCGTTGGAATTGCAAACTTGAAAGTTTTCTTAGAAGACGAAATCTTCCTATATTTGCGAGACGAGGAAGATTTCGCAGATGAGGATGAAAAATACTCCTCAAACTTCGCCTGATCGAACTCGTATTCGATCTCTTCATTGACAACGATCTTGATCGGTTGCGACACCGCGGCCTCGATAGCGAGGCCGCTGGCTCCCACTGTGGTCGCCAGTTTGTTTTCGCCAAAAGTTGGTTCTGTTGAGGAATTCATTATATCTTCGTTTGATTATAACAAATTCAAAGAAATAGTCTTTTTATAAGACCTTTTCTACACAACAAAGCAAAAATTACAACTCTTGAGAAAATAACGCAAAAATCGTCTATCGATTCTTGTTTTTGTGGGACTTTGCCTGTGCCGGGAACGCTTTGGTTCGTGGACCGCCGAATCACAGATCGTGAAGGGGGCTTATGATTCTTCCTTCGTTTATTAAAGTAAGAATTTAAAATGATATCTTATCAAAGTAAGATAGTCGTTCTTCTTAAAATCAAGTCAAAGCTCAATTTCAAGGGAATCACACCAAGAACTCAAGTCTGCTCTCTCTGCTCTGAATTGCTTGAAAATATGCTCGATCCTCGTCAGAAATGACCCTAGGGGGGTATTTATAGCCTCAGGGGACATAACTACACAAAACTCAACAACATAACACGTTAAGGCCGCGAGACAGTGTTTGCTGTCTCGGCGGGCGAGACAGTGTTTGCTGTCTCGGCCCGCGAGACAGTAAATGCTGTCTTGGAAAAAGAATATTCCTGGCAGTTTTCGTTTTAACTACCTTCCCACGTTTCAAACTCCGTTATTTTGGCAGTTACCACGTGATTTTCGCCCACGATGTTCTCCACGTCCCCTGGCAGTTAATGGACACGTGGGTGGGAGTTATTTAAGGTGGTTTTGACCATTTCAACACCGTCTCGCTGGCGAGACAGCAACCACTGTCTTGCTGGCGAGACAACAAACACTGTCTCGCTGG